TCATCCATGAGTTTTTCATCAATCTACTATTCTAAACGGAATTTAAAAAAAAAAAAAAAAAGTAAAAATGGAGCTCAAACACCCTTGGTATTTTTCTTCTTTTTTCTTTTTCTTTCAGTTTATACGATGGAAGTACACAAAGTCATGGAAAACATTTTCTTCATCTGATAAGTGTTTGGGACAGTCCATCGGAAAATTGCATCATTGATTTCCAATCTATTACCCGAGTAGCAAGTTGATCCTCGACCTTTCATTACCGTTGCATAATCAGTCCTATGATGACAAAGACTGTCAATTCTTTTGCTAAATCGTCACGACCCTCATAGGTCCAACTTCATGAATTTAATTTTTCTTCGTTTTCTCAATTTGGCCCACTGCTTAGAAATTTTGTGGGTATTTTTCCATGAAGGTCGTGACAATTTAACAAAAATTTTGCAAGTTTCTATTGTTTGTACAACTGTAATAAAAGATTGAGGACTATTTTGCTACTTGGACAATAGGGGACCAATGGTCTAGTTTCCCATTAGTAAATTGAATGAAGTCCAGATTCAGTAACGGACAAACATATTTCCAGTTTTCTATGAAATGTATATACACAAATCATTTGTCTTTGCATACCTATAGAAGCGCTATCGACTTTATCCACTGCCCAGGCCATTTTCAATAAATATAACTTTTACTTGGTTTCAGGGGAACTACCCTGCACCCTTGCTGTCTACAATAGAGCCACCAGAGGACTCAATTGCCACACTGGTTTCAATGGGGTTCGAGAGGAACGCAGCAAGGCAAGCACTGATTCATGCCACAAATGACATTAATGCAGTCACGAACATTCTTCTTGAGTCAGAATCACACTGAGCAGACAATGATTTGGTTTTGAAAAACGGATAGTCTACTCAAATCAAAATGTGATCTTGTCCATAGCTGGTTGACCCTTTGGGCCTTTGGAGGCATCGATTGTGTATATTTCGTTCAAGCATTCAGGTTATTACTGAGTTGAACTCCTGATTATACTGAAGATTAATTTTTGAACAGTTGGACTTCGTTCTCAATTTAGCAAGTATTGTTGGCAATGAGAGGGGAGATGTGTTCTTTATATACAAGCTACATGAAATGAGGTAGAGTAATTGTGGTTAGATCTTTTCTTAGGGGTCATTTTTGCATTGGTTGCATATGTCGACTATTTATTTGATTAATTTGATGTTAATTTTTTATTCTCCTGTGTGTTGAACTTGTTGAAAAGATCTATTTGCATTATTATATATTGTGCTGTCATCGCATGTATAGCACTATCTATAACTGTGTGTTATTATGTGGTCTTGATTGACTTCTAAATGAATGTAATATGTATTGCATTGCATTTAGCATAGCATGTGTTTTTTGTTTAAAATTTTAGTAATTGTGAGGTATAAAATGCGTAGTTTGGCTCACTATTTTTATTTTATTTTATTTATTTTATTGCACTGGGGTTTGACCTTAGCTGTTGGTGAACATTTTTAGTAGGTATGGTATATATTTCGATTCAAGTTATTGGTAAGGTCTACGATTTTCAATTTATTTTTTGATGCCTTGATTAAGTATTAATTTGGTGTTGTTTGCTTACAAGTTTATTAGATATCAAGGAGAAAATTTGTTGGATATTTTTGTTAATACCCAATAAATCAGAGCAATGATGTTTTAGTGTGTAATTTGTATGGATAGGCTTTGACTGAGGATCGAATTAACACCACGAGATGAGACCCAAATCAAAAGCTCGACAAAAAATTTAATGGACTATTTGAAGTGATAATTTATTGGATTAGTTACTCATGGTCCACGATAAGTTAAGGCCCATTTGTTAAAGAGTCTTTGGGCCATTTTTGTTAAGTTGTCTTAACGCTTTATGTTCATATGTATTGTTTTTTTATTTTGTAAGGCAAGTATGAAATGAACAAATTGAGGCAGTTGTGTCTTTCTTTCTTCTCTTTGTGAACAGCCACTATCATTTTCTTTGTGAGATATTTCTCTTTGTGGGTTTGAAAAGGCTCTTTTGCGAGCAACTCATCTTGGGCACTTAATGGAGTTTAGGGATTGAGCTTGTCATTGGAGCAACATTGAATTGAGCCATAACCCTTTGTGGTCATTGAGATGATGTATTTTGCACATCGTGGTTTGGGGAGCTGTTGGTGGTATAAATTTCTCAACAAGAAGCAAATTGTATTTAATAAAAATAGTTTTAATAAATTGAATCTCGCGGTCATAATAGGTCATCACAAGGATAATACTTTTATACACTCATGTTTTTGGTAAATATCCATATAGAAGATTAGTTATCAAAAAAATTCAAGAAAAGTATAACTCCGTCAAACTTCTTAATGGACTGTGTACCAAGATGTCCAAAATGTGTAACTTAAATGAGTATAAATGCGTCAAAAGAACATCTATGTTTTTCCTCTAAAAATGTTAGATCCTAAACTCAGATATTCTTTATTCTCGTGGCTGAAACTCTTAACTTGATGGATAATTTGCACTAAAAGAAGATATATTTTTCTGGAAACGAAGCCATATGAAGTGTACAACATTTTGTAGAACAAAATTTGAAGTTATATGAAAATAAGCAAATACAGTTCATAGATATATGTCATAGGAATATGAAATCAAAGTAGCCACAGCTGGAGTGCATGCAGTAGGAAGCTTACGAATCATATTTATTTTGGACGGTTACTAATTTCCTCTTCTTAAGACTTTCAAATGTCGAAAATTGCTATTTATTTATCATTACAAGATTATTGATCCTCCGCCGTGTGATGAGATTTCAACCGAGAAAAATCTTCCGGACATGAGCTATCTTGGGCCAATCCTCACCTGTTCCTTGCTGGCATCTTCTCATCAATTCAGGGCTCCCTTCAATTATGTGAAGTTCTCTTAGAGTGGTGAGACGATGCATACCTTGTGGCAAAGATATCAAGTTTGGGCACTTCTTAATGCGAACTTCATCAAGTGATTTGAAATTCTCCAGCCACTCTGGCAATGCTGTCAAACCTGAACAGATGGAAATACTTAAGAATTTGAGTGTTGTAGCAGCATCTTGAAGTCCTCCCGGAATTTCCCTTAGTTTTGGAACATCAGAAATGATTAATCGTTGAAGATTCCGAAGGTTTTGAAGACTCGTTTCTCTAAAACTAAGCTCTGGACAGCCCCAAATCCTTAAATCTACAAGGTTAGTGAGTTCCTGGAAGCTGTTTGGCAAGGACGACAAAAATTTGCAGTTTATCGACAATTTTCTAAGAGATGTCAAGCATCCTATGCCCTTCTCTGGTAAAGAATTCTGCCTTGAGGTGATGTACAGATGTCTGAGACTGATAAGTTTCCACAAATGTTCAGGCAACTTTTCTAATTTCCCAAGCCCTGCCAGGCTCAATGTCTGAAGATTGTAGAGTTTACAGATTGAACTTGGGAGTCCTTTTATATCATTGTTAGAGTGCATGCGAAAGTACCTTAGATGCCTCAATCTCTTGATGGTACGAGGCAGCACTTCAAATTGGGTAGCGAGAAAATCCAAAGTCCGCAAACTCAGGAAACTCGAAAATATCGGGCTAATATCACGGATAGGACTTGAAGAATTTACATTTCCACATGACCAGACGAATGTTTGTAGTTTGTTCTGTTTGAGCAATGACCTTGGGAACTTGGGTATTACGTTAGAAGAATCACATAGCTGAACATAACGAGTGATCTCTGGAATGTTTTTCGTTGTTAAATTTATGAATTTCGAGCCTGGTGCAGACCTTGCAAATTCAAAGACGGCATTGTGCATGTCACAGGAAGTATTATCTTGTGAATCAACATACCTAATATTATGAAAGAAGCATCTGGCTGATAACTCGTTAACAATTCCATTCCCTTTGTCTTCAAGCTGATCACTGTCGGAAACTGGAATCATATCTAGCGCCATCCATTGCTGTATAAGATCGTCCTTGGAAAAAGATTGAAATCCATGTACTGCAGAATAAAGAAAGCAACGTTTCATGTATGATGGCAACTGATCGAAGCTAAATCTTATAACCTGCGTGACATAATGTTTGCCCTGCCCCATTTCCCATACACGACCTTTCAAAAGCGATAGCCATTCATCAACCTCCTTCGTCGAGAGTGCCATGCCCAAAGCCTTCGCTGCTAGTGGTAATCCTCTACATTTTTCCACTACTAGCTTTTCAATTTCTTTGATAATTTCATGATCCCACTCTTTACCACTTCGAAAAGCCCATCTCTTAAAGACGTCCCAGGTTGCCTTTTCAGATAATAGTTCTAATCTGTCGATATAAGGCATGCTAGTTAACATTCTCGCCACGTTTTCATCTTGTGTTGTTACTACGACTTTACTTCCTACATCACCAACCAGGAGAAGATTTCTCAGTTGATCCCATTCTAAAGATTCTACGTTCCATAGATCATCTAACATGATCAATAATTTCTTCCCCGTCAGTTTTTCTTGGAGAAGATCTTTCAAATCTTGAAGAGAAGCAGTTGTTGATAGATCTAAACTGCTAAAGATACGTTTTATCATATCATGGAACTCGAAATTTTTTGGAACGTAAACCCATTTTCTCATTTGGAACACCTGTTTGACTCTTACATCGTCAAATACCAACTGGGCAAGCGTGGTTTTACCCAAACCCCCCATTCCCACGATGGGGATCACCGAGAGTCTCTCTGTGCTTGAGTTTCCGATAAGTTCCTGAACTATTCGTTCCTTATCATCGTCTCTTCCAAAAACATCTGCTGATTCACCCAAAAAGGAAGTGGTTTCCCTCGAAAGATTATTATGAACAAGTGATGGATTTTGATCTGGCACAATGAAATTTAACGCTTCCGAATTTGAAGCAATATCATTCAATCTCTTCCTAATGTTTTGAATCCTGTGGGACATCTTATATAGAAAAATTGGGCGCGAGCAAACGCGAGTTACCTTATCTGTAAAGCGATTCTCCACTCGCTGTCTCTTAGCTTCTGTCTGGAAATCATCAACCACTAATTTGCTATCTTCAACAAGATTTTCAAGCTTTTTCAACCGGTCACGTTCTTGATTGCTCCTACTCGGTTGCATTTCTGAATCTAAGATTGCACATTCGAGGGAAGATAACAACTCATCGAGTCTCTGAAATTCGCCGTTGACACCACATACAAGTTTTATCTCTCCAAAGAGGGAGGAAATCAACTGACTGGAGAGTTCTCCCAACGTGCTGCTGACAACTGCTTCCCCCATGGCCGGCTTCAGCTTTCTTTGAAAATGGCAAAATCTAGAGAAACAAACCAAATGAAGAATGAGAAATACAGACTATTCTAATTTCTTGGCCAATGGGCTTATAGGGTTATGTATTGAAAAACGCGGTTTCAACTACTTCCATTTCTGGTCGTCTTTGTTAAAATTCAACAAGGAATTGTCAAATCTACTCTTGGAAAACACGGGTAATGGATCGTCTATGTGGGACGACCCAACCCGCAAGATTTTAAAAATGGGTAGGAGATAATATTTTGAAGGGAAATCAAATCCATAAATTTCCTAACTCCCTACAACTCCCATATAACTCTTTGGAACCTTATAATAGAAGTTATGAAAAAGAGAATGAAAGAAAATGATGAAAATTCATATGATGCTCAAAAATAGAAAAGTGTCTTAAACCATATATATATGTCATGAAAACTGACAAAATTAGGTATTTAGATTGTGGATAATAATCACATTTCATTGTGAATGGGATTGAGACAATTGGAATGCAAGAAAATTGTGGATTTGGAGATTTGGAAAGTAAGGGGATTTAACCATTTAAAAGATTTTGGAATTCATCATTTCGAGTAAGCATTTTGATCAGAAATTTATGTTCAAACATAATGCGATTTATTACATCTACTTATTTTTATATTCCGATTAAACTATTAGAAATTCTTGTTAAGCAAAGTCAACTATCTTCCGATTCATCAACGAATCAGTTAATAGGATATCTAATCACTCATGGAAGAGACATTAAGAAAGCCAGCTTACAGTAGATTGCATTTGTCTGCATCCTGTTATATTTCTAAAAATATGCTTACACTTCTACATAAACAACATTGTACACCGACTTTCTTTGCTTGTGGGCTTTCTAGTATATGAAACCACTGTCTCAATCACATCCACCTGCCGTTATATTCTAGGAGACAGATATCATTAGTCTTCTTGTACTACAGTGGAAGGGAAATTGTTTTTAGGAAACTATGTACAACACAGGCCTCGATTCCTATCAATGCCGCCCCTACATCAACAACCAGATTTCCTCTCTTTTATTGTTACTCTGTTTATTGCAATATTTCTTTTCATTGTTGTATAATTCCAGCAGTATTTCTATTTTCATTTTGTGTTTTTCTTAACACTACTCGCACTCATCTCTGATGAAGAGATCAATAAGCAATATTGAAATCCAATCTTAAAGTTCGTCTTTTCTCTTTTTAAAGCCAAAATGACCATAACATGCAAGCTGTTGTTAGAAGAACAATTTATATGGTTCCTCGCAATCTTGATGTGAACTTTAGAGATATTCAGATGAATACATCGTCTCTTTTACACAGTACAATATGTGTATATACATGTCATAGTGAAATAATTAATTCACAAAATAAGTCAATTCAATTGGACCACAAGATGCAAGAAATTTTTTTACATTGCATTACCAATATTTCGTAGGAAACATGTCGTAAAGGTACAAGAATACAACTCGTTCATAGTATTCAGTGTAAAACTTTGCCATTAAACGACAAAAAATTATAAAATTCTTCGTAAAACTTGAACATCAGCATAACTTTTGGTAGTCTACAAACTCGCTCTGTTGATTTGCTAATTATACAAACCAGATTGAAGGATGAGAAAGATGGATTATTCTAATTTACGGCCATTAAGCTTTTCTTATAAATGAAAAACACGGTTTCCATTACTTGTATTCGTGGTCATCAGGCTGAAAATCAACAAGTAATATTCAAATCTCGTTTCCTTTTATATTTAGATTAGTTAGATGACCAAAATGCTTATGAAGTCTTGTGCGGAAGATGATGACCACCAAAGCTTGATTCAGGCTCAGTTTTTCTACAATCGACACCAATATGAAAATCACCCAGAATCCCTCAAACCACCATTTTCACTCGTGGTTTCTCTTTTGTTCACTCACTTAGGATGTGTAATGAAAAGTATAATAATAAAGATGAGAGGTAACCACAAAGACAGTAAAGAACATTGTAAGGAAGAGCCATAGAGAGAGCAGCCGATTTCATACACAGAGAGGAGAGAAAGGGGATGAATTCATATATCCAAAAGGATGGGTGCCCCAAGAATATACAGGTGTCAATTAGGGTATAGTGATGGGTCGAGCCCATCATGGGTATAAGTGGGCAATTAAGTGGGTTATCCAATATTAGTCGTCCAAGTAAACGAAATGGGCCTTGAGCAGCTCTAATTAAAATTAGGCTGATTCAAATGGCTGGAACATTTTTTTGGATCGGATCACTTCACTTTGGTGTCGATTTATCATTCAGTCATTAGGTCGATGCCAACTTAGAAAATTACCGAGCTACATCATAGTCCAAGGAGGTCTTTTGACAATAATTTGCCTAACAAACCTCCACAATGGTATCAAAGGACCTGCAAAGAAAACATTATCACCTGCTAGTAATACTTCCAATATAGAGAATCGATGAAATTGGAAATTAATTACCTCCACCAATGTTTAAAAGATCCATACAACTTCTAAACTTCATCAATGGTAGCATCATAGTGCCCATGTCCTAAGGGTTATATAGTGTATGTATCTTTTCAAGTCTAACAACTTCTTGTGACATGATATCTCCAATAAAATGTAGTTTAATGTCAATGTGTTTGGTGCATTTGTGAAAGACTGGGTTTTTACATAGATGTATGTGAGATTGACTATTTGAATAAACTACTACATAGTCATTCAAAACACAAAGTTCATGAAGTAAACCTCTACACCACAACGCTTCTTTGATTACTTTAGTGGTGGCAGTATATTCTGATTTAGTCGTGAATAGTGCAACTATGTGTTGTAACTATGACTTCCAACTAACATAGAAGTCAGACATAGTAAACACATAGGACAAAGTGGATTTTCTATTATATATATCCCCTGTATAATCCACATCTACAAAATCTTTCAATTTCACACCTTCTTCATTAGCACCAAACTTTATACCTACATTACTAGTTCTCTTTAGATATCTTAACATCCATTTTAAGGCTTTCCAATGCTCAGGACCAGGATTAGACATGTACATACGAAGAGTACTGACAACAAATGCTAAATCGGGTCTAGTACAAACCATTAAGTACGTAATAGAATCAATCACATTAGAGTATGGTATTCTACTTATGTATTCTATTTCTTTTTCATTACAAGGAACTTGATCTTTAGATAATACAAAATGATTAGCTAAAAATAATGCAATAGGTTTGCACTCATACATGTCAAATCATTTCAATACATTTGAAATATAAGACAACTGATGCAGGAACAAGGCAGAATTTGAGCTATCTCTTTCGATTTCCATACCTAGGATTTTCTTAATTTCACCAAGGTCTTTCATGTCAAATTCTCCATTCAACTTTGTTTTTATCTTACTTATACATTTTGGCGATGAACCCAATCAAGAGTATATCATCCACATACAATAATAAAAACACACAGTTATTATTGGCATGATCATATTGAAAATATAGATAATGATCAAACTTACTTCTTTAAAACTCTATAGTGTGTACAAAAGAGTCAAATCTTTTATACCACTGTCTAAGTGATTGTTTTAGGCCATAAAATGATCTTTAGAAACGCACATGATTAGGTTTTAGTTATCTTTAAAACATTTTGGTAGATTTATAAAGATTTACTCATCAAATTCACCATGTAAAAAGCGATTTTTACATCAAGTTGTTCAAGTTCCTAGTCAAAATATACAATTAATGCAAGCAAGACCCTAATAGTAATATACTTAACAACTGGTGAAAAAATCTCGTTATAGTCAACACCCTTCTTTTGTGTATATCCCTTGGCCACTAACCTAGCCTTAAATCTTCAGAGTTCAGATTTACTAGCACCCTCCTTAACCTTAAAGACCCACTTACAATTAATTGCCGATTTATTCTTAGGTCTAGTATTAGTTCCCATGTTTGATTCTTTTCTAAAGAATTTATCTTATCTTTCATTGCCTTAAACCACTCTTTTGATTGCTCACTTTTGATTGCCTCCTCGAAAGTTTTTAGTTCTCTATCAGCTTGATCCTCATAGCTAGCAAGTACAAAAGCTAATTTAGATTCATATCCTAATATTGTAGGCTCTCTCATAGTTTTCCTTCGCTTTAATGAGAGAAGGTAGCACAATCAAATGTTCTAAGTACAAAAAAAAAAATTCACTTAGTTTCATAAGGAGTGTCACCATTCAATGTAGTAGGTGGAGTTAAATTAATCAAATAACATGCAATCATAACAGCTTAGCCCCAAAATAACTTTAGAACACCAGAACTTAGCATCATGCAATGCACTTCATCAAGCACAGTTCTATTCATCCTTTTGGCCACCTCATTTTGCTGGAGAGTGTAAGGAACAATTTGATACCTTGTTATTCCATTTTCTTTGCTCATATTATCAAATTCAATATTGCAGAACTCTAGACCATTGTCATTTCTCAAAAATCTGATGATTTTGTCAGTTTGGTTTTCAACTTGTCTTTTTCAATTATTAAAACTGTGAAAAGTGTAGGACTTATCTTTTAAAAGATAAACCCACACCTTTCTTGTGTAGTCATCTATAATAGATAGGAATTACCTATTTCAATCACAGGTGCGATTACTAGTAGGACCGTACAAATCTGAATGCACATATTCAATCGTGTCTTTAATTTTATGAACACTCGTGGAGAAAGAAGATTTATGGTGTTTACCAAGCACACGATGATTACAAAAGGACAAGTCAACACATGATTATTTTCAAAAGCACAATTTTCATTAAGGAGTTTAAGGACTTTAATTCTTACTTGTGCAAGTCTATTATGCTATTTATGTATGTAATTAGCCTTGGCAGACGAGATAAAAAAAATCTAGACCTTTTATCACTTCTCCACTAGTGATGCAAATGTCATTTTACCTAGATCATATAATGGAAACCAGAGCATCCTTCGCCAATTTTACATGAAAAGATGCATTAGAATCTAGTATCCATTCATGCAACGAGAGTTGGTAGTTAAATTAAATTTAATAGGATAAGTAATAGGACTTGTAATCATATATATTTCACCTTCATCAATGT